AGGCGTTTTTTGGTAAAATATTTCAATCTTTTATTTATTACCGAATAATTTCGGTTGATAAGAAATAAAATTTATGGTGATTTTCAAGCACCAATTTATACTAAGTGGCAAAACATAAGACCTGTTAGATTTTAACTGTGTCTGTTTGGAATATTTTGAAGTACGTACTTATACACATGGCCATACATTTCAGATGTTGATTAGCAATTGCGTAGGTCTCAAGTGCTGATTTGAAAACTTGTACAATCATAAATGAAATTAAATTTACATATGTAGGTGAACATTTTCTTCCTGGGAGAGTAAAGTTTATAAGCAAACAAACGGAATATTTATATTTCAATGAAAATTTTATTTGTTAAAAGAGAATTGTACTATACAATTTTATTTGAAAATGAAGGTCTTTCAAATATAACAGGAATAGTACTGTATGGATTTTTTTTTTTGCTAATGTGAAGTAGGAAGTCACTTTTAACTATTTGTGGTTGGTTCAAGATTTATCGATTCATTGACATACTATTTCACTAAAAATCGGGCAGTTTGGACCCCTGAATTTATCTACGTTTAAAAAAAGTGGAGATACAAGCAAAAAAGCAATATTTTTTTTAAATAGTTTTTTAATTCCAATATCTCGAAAATAAAGTGAAGTTTTGACTTTGATAAATCTAAAGCAAAATTTTCAAGTAATTAATTCGAGTTCCAACTAATCAGATTTTTCTACTAACTTATCAATTAAGTAATTTTAATAACACTTATTACAAATGTAGAAAAATCAATTAATCGCACAGCCCTAGTAAGACTAATCCGAATTCTCCCAAATTCTGCGGGTGCGCTGCTAAAAAAAAACATATACAAGCAGCTGCTTACTAATCGTATCACCGTATTATACGGTAGTATCTGCGATAGCAAACAGCTTATCTTTTATTGCCTCGCTTTTGTTAACTTTGGATGTAACTATGTAATATTTATGCGCCTAAAAGACGCAGCGATTTCCATTCTCAACTTACATAGTACCTGATGACAGTACGTTTGGAAATTATAAAAGCGAGTTTTTAGTTTTTTAAACTATATTATTTTTTATTATTATCTACGATGAGGTAAGTTTTATTGCATACAAGTTTTTGGTTGTAAATTTTCACTGCATATTGTTTTATTTTCACCTGGTGCATAGTAATTATTGAATATATTTATTTACTAGAAAACGTTTAACATAGTTTAATGGGATCTTAGCGAGCTGCTTTTATACCCGAGCACACTTATTCACAAGGGTATATTAACTTGGTTTGCAAAGCCTAAAATAATCAACATAGATATGTATATTTTGAAGGTGGCATAAGTTATTTCATGCCGTTTGACTTCAGTTATTTGTGATTCGTTGAAATTCGCCAGTTAAAGGTAACAAGTTTTGCCGATTAGTTTATAGTTTAAATAAAAGTTGATGAAAGTTCTTATCAATCCAGGTTTTTGAAATTACAAAAAATTAAATTTTTTTTAAGAAATATTTTTCTGAAAAATATATCTCATTAATAATATTTGCTAAAAAGACAATTTCAGCAGCCCTTTTTTAGTAGATATTAAAGAAGTCTTTAACCAAACTTTAACGCCATCCATTCAATGCCATATTTAAAAAAAAAGTAGCCTAGCTTCGATAATTTTTATAAGATTGTAAAAAATGAGATTGTATTTAATAACTTTTATAGACAATTTTTGAAACTAGAGATCGTCAAAGTTGGAAAAAAGAAGAAAAACAGGAGTGTGTGACAATTTTTTTTTTCACTTGTAGGTCAACATAGATTGATTAAAAGAAAAATACTGATACAAATAAAATATTTCACACAAATAGGGTTGAAATTTTGAAATTTCAATTTTGTTTGAAAGTCGTTAGTGGCACGGCCGAGTAATCCATAGTCAACTTATGTAGCTGTAGTCGAAAAGTTATAGCCGCACCAAATTTTGACAAGTTTTAATACATTATTTTTGTTGTTATTTAATTTTGGTTTAGTTTTTATAGTTCATTCTTTACCAACATACGTATAAATACAAGTTTAAAAGCAGTGTCACACGATTGGGAATTTGCCGCAATTTGGTGCAAATCATATCCCAATTGTGTGAATACCCAAATATTTTTCTTTATCCCAATCACGAAAAATAATTTGTTGAAATTTTTCAATACAAGATTCCTGTATTGTACTAAGCTTTTGACTACAAAAAAAAAAAAAACTTTCCCAATTTTACACGAAAAATATTGGATCAGACAGAGCATTAAATTGCGCTCACTTACCATATAACGGCGAATTTCAGAAATATGAAAACTCCGATATTCCAGTAAATAAGCACGCAAATGTACTCCAAGTAGTTAAAAAAAAAATAAAATAATCACGGATTTTTTGGAAAATGGGCGTGGCTCCACTTTTTTACACTTCTTGCTTTATTTTTCTTCCTCCTGTTTCTTTGATTCTAAAGCTAAAAAAAAATTCAATTTAAATTTGTAACCCCTTCAAGTTTTTTTTTTATTTTCATTTTTCCAAAGGCTGTCTGTAAAATTCCTAGATTTTTAATTTAAAATTGGCAATTGGAAATTGAGCTTGCACTAAGTTTGCTGCAGGCCTTCTTCCAATAAACTGAGAAACACCGCATCTGTAAATTCCAACGGCAAATGCGGTTGCTTATAAGTGTCTGACTGTACTTAGTAACTTCACATGGACGTTGACTGCAAGAAACTTCAAGCAAGTTTAAAAAGTTGCTCAGCTGGCAAACAGCAAAACTGGTGTAAACAAAGCTACGAAAAAAAAAACAATAAAAACTGAGTGCACCTAACTAACAACAAAAAACAAAAACAATCAAAGCAAAATTTTACTACAAGTTTTAAAATGTTTACAACATTTTCTTGGCGCTTCCAGAGATGGAGCTCCCCTCGGATCGATGAGGAAAATGAAAACGCCAAAGGAGGGTAGAGATTTCCTGGAAAGAGCAATAACTACTGTATATGCAGAGGACTTTCGCGAGTATTTATTTACATATGTAGATAAATGGAATACATATATTTCTTATATACATTCATATGTGCGTACATGTTTTCTATGTATGTTTATGTATATGCTTATGCAGTCGTATGGTTTATGCATATGAATATATGTAACTGGCAGTATGCTGACAGTTTGCGCCATCGAATAGCAAGTCCATAGGTTCCAACTAACGAAATCTCGGGTAACGAGCGTATAAGGAGTTAGCTGGCGCTTATGCGTAATGCAAAAAAGAATTTGCTAGAATTGAAAGAAAATAAAAACGAACGCTGAAGCATGAAAAGACAATGCGAAATGGCGTATTGTATGCAAATTTAATTTACTTAAATGTTGCTCAGACGACACGCAACAGCTGCTGACTCTGTATCTGTTTTGTACGTTGTTGTTGTAGTTTCTTGGAAGAGCGAACGTGTTTTTAGCGAAGTTATGCTAGTAACTAACTATATGTACATAGATACATATATAATTAAACGGATGAAACGGATGAAAGTGTGCGTTTATTTATGTACCCTGCAGGGAAACCGCGGACTAGTGAATCAAATTTGTAGTTCCGTACTAGGTCTTTATCGCCAAAAAGGAACTAGTCCGATAGGAACTAGATCCCCACCAGTCCAAAATCGGCGAAAAGTGGTACTTTTCAGAAACTAATTTTTTCGGTTTTTTTCACTACAAATCTATATCTAAAGTGACGAATTTAGAATTGGTTCGGAACTATAGAAAAAGGGATGCAGAACGAACTAGATCCTATTTGTCGAATTTAGAACTATTTCGGAACTATCGAATAAGGGATGCAGCGGGGGGCTTGTTTACTTTACATAGATATGTGTTCGGCGGCTTTTTCGTTCAAATACGCTTCTATTCTGTGCTTTGCAGATGCTATTTCATAGATTGGTAATACAAAACAAAGCTTTGTGTTAACATATTAACATCTTGGGGCCGTCTGGAATCTAATCAATAACAGCGATTAGATTCCAGCAAAGTCAGCTACAGCAGGGTATGTAAACGTACATTTCTTACAATCATTCAAACAAATTTAATTTCAAATTGAAAAAAACGTTTCTTTGAAAATAACGTAAAATCGCACACGACAGAACTGAAAGGTTGAAAAATCATGATACTTTTTTCTTTCGTCTGTCGATTTTAGAACTGGTTCGGAACTATAGAATTTAGGACTAGTTCGGAACTATCGAAAAAGGGATGCAGCGGGGGGCAATTGACACTTCCTAGGACATCGCCATGTTAAATTCGCCAGTTGCTTGCATGCAAAAGAGATTTATCGCGAACCATTACTGGGTCTAAATGTACTAGAAGCGCCCCAGTTCAGAACTAGAGATTTTCCCCACAGGGTATGAATGTATGTGTGTGTACGTGTGTGTGTACGCCTTGGGGGAAGATAAAAGAAAATCGTGTAAGAGCTTAGCATATTATTAGGAAAACTCAACTTAGAAAATTCCCGGGTACTTACTTGGGAAATTAATTAATGTAATTACTATTTCTTAGAAAAGGGCAGAGGCTTAGTAAATGATGGACACTTGGAATAAAAGCTGTGTAAGCAATGAGAGCAATGCTGTAGATTAACATTGAAAAATCAGTGACAAGACAAGAGTTATTAAATTTAATATCTAATCGTCACGAATTTGCCCGCAAGAATGTTTTTACTTTGACGTCACTTAACTTCGCGTATCTCAAGGAGATCTCGAGCGATAAAAATTCGTGGAATTTTCCAATGTCTCAAAACAGTCTGCTCTATACACAAAAAAGAAAAAATTTACCCAAAATAAAGCTTCGGCGTACTTCATCGCGTTCATTTCACCGTAAGCAATATGCAGCGTAATGCTTTGCTTTATCGTAATACAGTCCTCGACTTTTTATTGATATTTTTTTTTTTAGTACAAAGTCCATTATAATTTGTAACAGATCTAGGCTCTAACAAGTGGCCGCTTATCTTCGGGTGTCTGGAAGTATATAATAACCGGTTAGTCGCAGTCTTCTTATTCAGTTAGCATTAAAATGGCGTCCAAACTATTTCGTTTAGCAACAATTTTTATTTTCTGCATGTGGCAGTCTACTGCGACCAGTACCATAGACTGGTGGGAGACTGCTACGCTTTATCAGATATATCCGCGCTCGTTTATGGACAGCGATGGTGACGGTCTAGGTGACTTGAATGGCATAACAATGCGTTTGGAATTCCTCAAGGAAATAGGTGTAACGGCTGCATGGATTTCGCCTATATACGAATCGCCTATGGCCGATATGGGCTATGATGTGACCAACTTCACCAACATCGATCCGATCTTCGGCACACTGGCAGACTTCGATGCATTGATTGCCAAGGCGCATAAATTGGGTTTGAAAATTATTTTGGATTTTGTGCCCAATCACTCGAGCGATAAATGCGAGTTGTTCCAGAAGTCGATACGCCGTGAGGATGGCTATGATGATTTTTACATTTGGGATGATGGTAAAATCGATCCAGTAACAGGCGAGCGTGTGCCGCCAAGCAATTGGGTGAGCGGTTGTATGTAGAATTTCAATCATTAGAAATTAATTCAGTGGAAATGTAAAGAAATGCTAAGATTTAAAATGTGTTTTGTACAAGCAATTTAAAAGTGAGAGTTGAAAAAAAAATGTAATTTACTACTTCTGTTTCTGTTAATTTTTCTTCAAAAAAGTTGCCTCACTGAAACTTTAAAATTATTTAGTTTTTTTGACTATAGTGCGGAGTAAAATAGAACTAATTTTCTTAAGTGTGATAAAAAAACTAAAATTCCACAATTCCTACTTCTTCATCAAGAACTCCGTTTTTGGTGGACCCGCATGGACGTGGAACGAGCAGCGCCAACAGTACTATTTGCATCAATTTATGCCTCAGCAGCCTGATTTCAACTTCACAAATCCCATGGTGCGCCAACACTTAATCGGAGTCCTAACTTTCTGGCTTGAACGCGGCGTCGATTCTTTTCGCATCGACGCTGTGCCACACTTCTACGAGAAACGTTTCGAAAACGGCACATATCCAGATGAACCGCTCAGCGGCGAAACGGACGACCCCAACGATTACACGTACTATGACCACATCTACACAAAGAATCAACCGGAGAATCCCGAGCTGTTGTACGAATGGCGTCAGTTTTTGGATGAATACCATCGCCTCCATGGCGGTGACAGCATGTAAGGCGCTATTGCAAGAAATCAGTTACCGATTTATTTCCCATTAATAACCTCCCCCTCTAGCATACAGATCGCCGAGGCATATGCGCCCATTGAGGATTTGAGCAAGTACATCAACAACGGCACGCACCTCGGCAGCCAGCTGCCAATGAATTTCAATTTCATTCAGTTGACAGACACCTCCACGGCCGAGGATGTAGAGCGGCTATGCAATCATTGGTTGGACACAATGTGGACGCGTCATAAGTTGGGCAACTGGGTTATCGGCAATCATGACAACAGTCGGCCGGCGACACGCATTGGCGTAAATAGAGTGAATATAATGACGATGGTGACGCATGCGCTACCGGGTTCATCTGTTACCTATTACGTAAGTGTGCTAACATTTGGTTCATGCACATGTTTTTTTTTTATACCCAATGCTCACTTGTGTAGGGTGATGAGATTGGCATGACTGATGGACCCGAATATTGCAGCGAGAAAGCTTGTGACTTCCGCGACCCAGAGCGCACGCCAATGCAGTGGGGTAAAACGAAGAATTCCGGCTTTAGCGAAGCCAACGACACTTGGCTACCCATCAATCCCAACTATAAAATCTTAAATGTGGAAATGGAGCGACATGCAGCACGCAGCACGTTGAATATATTCAAGGGAATGGTCAAACTCAAGCAAACTGTTGCCTTCAAGGCGTTCAAAGAGGAAGGTGGCTTCTCGTATGGCGCATTGAAGAAGCAGATCTTCCAAGTTGTGAGGTTCGTTAGGGGTCAATTAAAAGCTTGAAATAAATGCAACAATTCATTTAATAAAACTTGCAGAGCTGCCGTAGGTCGTGAAGAATACCGCTTGCTGGCCAACTTGGGTAACAAAATAGAATATTTGGATGGCTTGACGAATAAAACTATGGAATATGTGCTGCTCACGTCACATTCGCCACATAATTACGGGTAAGCCACGCGGAAAAGGATCAATAAGATTTGACATTTCAAATTTTTTTTGCTTTAATTTTAGTGATAAAGTGGATTTGAGCAAACGCATTTATTTGATGCCCTATGAAGCGGTTATGCTGCGCTGGAGTCCGTAAAGTTCATTTGCAGGACCATTAAAAAAAAATGTTGTGATCGTAAAAGGTGAATGCGCGGCATGTTGGCTGCAGTGATTACTCATATGTAAACTAAAGACTTACTTAAATACTAAAATAAGTATTATAATGCAATTTTTCTTTTCTTTCTAATTGTTTTTTTTTTTTTAAGTAATAAACAAAGTATTTCAGACGTTAAAAATGATTTTGATGGCGTAGGGTATAAGTTATTTTTGTGGATATACATAAACATTAGTGTGGGCCGAAAATCTGCTTTTTAGAATTTTGATTAGTAACATCAAAAATTTGGTTCATTATGCCTTAAAAACAATAATATGCGAGAGATCACAATTTTTGGTCAATGTCTTAGGCTCGCCCAAGTCCATCAAAGTACAAGTGCTATAAACAATTTTTACAAGCTTACTTCGATTCTCCTTAAAAAAGGTCCATATACCAAATTATGTTGGACTAAAAGTTTCGAAAATAAATGCAATTTTAGTAAAAAAAATTATTAGTTCATGTATTTATTAAATTTTATTTTTTTAGCACATTGAATTTTTATTGACTTGTTCGAGCCTAAGATATTGAAAAAAAATTTTACTTTTTCCCACAGATTATTTTTAGGGCATGTTGACGTGAGTTTAATTGAGTAGAATAAGTCTCTACTTCTATCTCCGAATGAGATATGCTTTATTACAACCTTTAAAGCTTACAAAATAAATATCTGTGATCACAATAGGGATTCTAGAATATCACTATCGACAGCGTTAGCTTCCTTCCTTTATCTTGGACATCTACTGTGGATATTAAAATAACTTTCGGAAATTTTGTATTAAAAATAATATTTTGCTATAGCAGAGGTCTGAAGGATAATGAGCTAGAAAGTTTGTGGAGTGCTCGATTCAGCTGTTTTGCTTGAATGGATATCAATTACTTGCCGAGCTCTAGTTTAGGGACCTTTACCTAACATAACCTAACCATGCCCTATCTCCCGCGATTGCTTGTTCATGTAATGTATGGACATATACACAGACAACATTTAATTAGTTAACCAAAATTGTCGTTCTTCTTTAATGATAAAAATTTCAATTGAAAAGTTACCCTAATTGTATACGAAAAACTAACTCAAGAGTTTATTGCTAGGACTAAATTTTTCCCATAAATAACGTTGTATTCCTAGGCCCATAAATTTGGTAAAAGCGAAATTAACACAAATAAAAAAAAAAGACGCGAGCACATGCCTGACGCCAGCAAAGGTGTAAGTACACACTCAGCCGTAAATGTGACAACGGATAGACTAATTTGTTGGGATTTGATTTGTTTCGTCGTAAAAGTTATTTTTACTCACCTGCATCGAAGTACATATGTACCTATGTAAGTGCAAAAATACGTACAACATTTCTGCCCTTCAATGCCTACGTGAGTAAGTAAATTTCATTTCATAAAAATGCCACTTTAATTCGCTTTCCTAACGTTGTGCGCCATGTAATTCAAGCCAATCCAACAACATACACATTTATGCACATAAGCCCTTATATAGGCATTTAGATATAGGCAGTCACAAAAATTATTCATTTTCAATTCATATTTTATGTACAAAACAAAATTTACGCGCATGAAAATTACAAATTAGCCCATTCAAGTTGAACCGGCGCAAACGGCAGCTGTCACTCAACATTCCAAAGTTTGCTTTTGCACCCACCCAAGCAAGCATCACACGTGCAAACAAATATAAATACATGGAGCCGCATGACACAAAATATATAAATCTGTTTTGGCATCGAAGTTGTACACGCGCACGCACACACACACACTTTCATGAGGATTAGAAAAGGTGCGGAATACTAATACGCTCTTCATGAGCAAGGGCGGGGTGAAAGAGAACGCAAAAAAGCGAAAATGTGGCAATAAAAATGAGGAACAAGCGATGTGACATGTTTGCTTGACATTTGCAGTTAAATGATGGGATGCGTTGGAAAGATAGTGGCGAAAAATATCAGTGGAAGGAGAGGAGCATGCAGAAACGCTAACAACAAGATGGTAGACAGAGAAAATTCAGAACTCATACCGAAGTTTCAGTACCACTCTTATAAATGTGCGCATAGCATAGTATGTGGGGAGTTCCATACCCAAATGGACGGGGTTCACACTTCATGTTTTCGATTTGTCTAAACATTTTAGGGTTCATGGATAGACATAAATAATAACTAAATATGAAACTTGAGCTTGATTAATACACTTTTAAAAATTTTACACACAAAAACAAAAACAAATCGATTTAATAGCTTTCCAAAAAATTAAAAAAAAAATAAAAATCAAACATACACACATCAAAATTGTCTATAGAACGAAATATTAAAAAATTTTTTTTTTCTAGAAAAATTTTTCACATACAAATTTTTTGATAAAAAAATTAGTTTTTGAAAACATGCCATCTAAAAAAAATTTAAAAAAATCAAAATGGTAGCTTTGAATATTGCGCTATACTTAAGTATAGTATTATGGGGTGCACTCTGCAATAATTTGAGTTATACCGAAGTTGAGTAAAATGAGCACATTGTATACTTACAATTTTTTTCAGTATGCAGTTTTGGAGCCCAATAAATTTTTTGAATAACAAAGTGCAAGTTTTAAGCGATTGCAAAACTTGCGTAATTTTTTTTTTTTTTTAATTGTCTCTAAAAACAGTTTTGCGCTTTTTCTTCCATAAAAAAGTGCGAAAAGCCGTCAGTATAAAAAATATTACAAATCAACGCAAGTAAAATTTAATGGGCCAAAACTGCATACTCAAAATTATTTAAAACAAGTAAGAAAGTCTAAGTTCGGGCGGAGCCGAACATTAAATACCCGGCGCAATTATTAAATATATGTTTTCCACCTTTCCGAAAGCTACCGCTACACGATAATCCGGGGTGTATAAATTTTAAGTAAATTAGCGTCCTTAAATTTCGAAATATTGCAGTTTCAAGCATTTCTGAAATATACCGTTATATGAAAAGCGGTCGTAATTTTAGTCTGATTTCAATAATTTTCAACGTTTTGCTTTTATGTGGCAAGCACAATAACCGTACCGAGTTTGGTACAAATTGGTGTAACGGTTACCGAGATACATATATGTGATCATAAGTGGGCGGTGCCACGCCCATTTTCCAAAATTTTATCATAAACGTATTTCTTGGTAGAGAATTGTTGCAAGCATTAATTTTGAATAAATTAGCTTTAATATTTATTGATTTATCGAAGATTTCGTATTTCTCCAAATTACCGTTATATGGGTGGCAGGGTCCGATTTTAAAAATTTTCGGCCATTTGGTATGCTGTAGCAAGACTAACAACTGTGCCAAGTTTGGAAGAAATTGGTGAAGCGGTTACCAAGATATACACATGTATCCATAAGTGGGCGTGGCTACGCCCATTTTCCAAAAATTTATAATATTCTTATTTTTCGTCTAAAAGTTATTGTAAATATCAATTTTGAGTGAATTATCTTCAGTAGTTACTAAAATATCGCAGTTTTCGTTTTTCTGAAAATTACCGTTATATGGGAGGTAGGCGTGGTTATTGTCCGATTTCGCCCATTTTCAATACCATCCGTCCTATGCCCAAAAGAAGTCCACGTACCAAGTTTCGTTAAGATATCTCAATTTTTACTCGAGTTATCGTGTGCACAGACGGACAGACGGACGGACGGACGGACGGACGGACCGACGGACGGACAGACAGTCACCGCTTAATCGATTTCTCTTTTCATTCTGATCATTTATGTATACATTTGTCTATATCTATCTCGATTCGTTTTGCCTGTTACAAACAACCGTTATGTGAACAAAGTTATAATACCCTTGTGCACAAGTGCGCTCGGGTATAAAAATTGTAAGTTTGTAATGTTCTCATTTTACTCAACTTCGGTGTAAAAAAGATTCAAAAAATTTGTATGTGAAAAAAATTTTAAGAAAAAAGATTTTAAAAATATTTTTTAAATTTTTTCCTCTCCCGTTATCGAGTTATTGGAAAACTATTAAATCGATTTTTTTTTGTTTTTTTTCTGAAAAGTTTTTAAAGATGTGTTAATCAAGCTCAAATTTCATATTTATTTATTATTTATGTTTATTCATAAACCCTAAAATTTTTTTAACAAATCAGCTACTTGAAGTGTGAACTCCGTCCATTTTGGTGTGAAACGCCCCATGTACATACATAGGTATTTACATTAGCCTGGGTTGCAAAAAAAGGTTGCAATTCCCTACTAGTTTGAAAGCATAATTAGGAAAAAGTTTGGAATCATAAAAATGTTCGTCCTTGGCGAATGTGAAAAACTGCCAAAATCGGAATTTCTTCCAAACTATCCTATCTAACTACTCCTATCGTAAAAAAAAAAATATTTTTCGGTACTCGCCTGCCAGGCTCATTAATGGCTTGCCATGGCGTATGAGTAAGGCTCGTATGTCTTTCCGGACAATAAATTGCATAGAGAAAAATGTGATACATAAAAACAAGATTGTCTCTATCAAAAGTTTCTAAGCTCAAGGATAAAACAGACGAAAAAACGAAGAAAATTCCTATTGATTTTATATGTAAATTGTTCCTAATTTCATTTATAAAGAAATTGACAAATAATTTAAGTACTTTTTTCCATGTTTTCTCAACAGCGGTTTTAGCCGAATGGATGCGAACTCGACGGCCGGCGAACGGACATTTCTTATTTTATTTATTTTTAATTTTATATACACAGGATGTCCTAGACCACCAGTCCACCCTCTCTAAAATGGAGGGAAATGTTGTATGATGTTGTATTTTGTACTTTTTTACAGTGTTTTATGAGAAATCGTTAAAAACAACAGCAAGCACACAAGCACAGTAGTCATACTTTCAAGTAAAAAATTATGAAATTATTTTTTGCAATACACTTTCCCACTCAACTGCGGACTAAATGCGCGACCTCATTTCCTTATCAGCTGAGCGTACCTACATAAGTAATATTAAAGTGCGCCACCTGGCGTATAAATATCAAGTAGTCTAGTAGTAGGGAATTCGCATTAATTTGTGTATATGTTTGTGAGTGTTGAAGAATATTAGAATACGTGCAAGTAGAC